CGAGCGCTTAAGATGTCTGGCTCGCTAGCGAGGTGTGTTGCGCCTGGTAATAATGCACTGCGGAGCCCTGCAGCTTCTGAGCAGCATGATGATGAGGGGCAGGCTGCCTCACTGCACCATCCTCCCTCTTTGCTAGACCTGTTGTCAGCTCACATTGGAGCCGCTCTCCCCTGCCGATTTCATGATAACGCCTTGTTGTCGGTGGCTCTATTGAACAAGGGATTTATTTTTTTTAACAGTTTTGACTTCCCGTTTTGGTCATTGCGGTGGACAGTCCTGCATTTTTTTGATCAAGCACAATTTATTTTTCCTAGCAATACTTTTGTTTAGGATTTTAATTGACTGTCGAAATAGAAGGTGGAATTTGAGAATTGTTTCAAATTCGATCTAAAGGATATGAGTTTAGCTTTTTTAATTAAAACAAGTGGACACTGAAGCACGTACAAAAAGAGAACAGTTCTGTTGCAAAAGCAACACCAATGACCACATAGTACTATCTCTGCGTTCACAGAAGATGCAGTATAGTGGAAGTGCCTTTTCATTCATTACATGCTTTTAAGGAATCAGATCACTACCAACTTGCCATGTCTAATGTGAATGATGGGTAGTTAAAATTAACGTTTCTTTAAAGTGCTCTCTCTGGGCCAAGAAATTCAGTGAACAGAAGCCTGAATTTGTTCTTTTGCTTGAATTGTGAACCTATACAACAAACCATCTGTAAAGGAAAAAAACCCAGTGAATTTAGCAGGAAGAGACTTAATGCTTTTTGCCATCATCTGTATGGAACCAAAAATGGAGTATCTTCAAGCAAGGTCTATATAAAAATGGGTGTGTCCAGGAGGCACAGTAACACTTTGAATGTGGTTATAGTTCATCCTGACACACCAGACTGGCTAAACCTGTGAATATATGGTTGTCCAATACTGCACATGCTAGATAAAGTAGAATACTTTGCTGTCAAAATAAGCTAACCTCTACTATAAGTGTAACTTTAGCCCTTCTGCTAGTCCATCTAGTTCTTGCTCTTCAGTTAATCTTGCCAGAGTAGAACTGTCCATTCAGATCTAACACTTGTGAAGTATACCAAAATGCTAGGTTTTGGAGTGGAACAGTGTCATCTGTTCTGTGATTTGCTGATAGCTCTCTACCAGGCTGTGTTAGTCAGCTCTGAGGATCTTCCAAACTGATTACTGCATAGCAGCTATGGCTGTAATGAAACACTACCTCTAGAGGCTGCATGTGCCACTGAAACTGCCGCACAGACAGCGGCTCCCCTTCTTTACTAGGCTTAGATTCTTTGTCAGGCCCTCAACGTAATCTGGGGGTGGGGGATGGGAGCTATTGCAGTGAAAATGAAAGTGCTGCAACATGAATCGGAGAATGCATGTCCAAGCTGTGATGGTTCCCTGACTTCATCAAAGGAGGTTTTTCAGGTGGATCTTGGCCATAGTAAGGGGCATGTCAAAACTGTAGCATAGGCATGTTAGACTTGTAATTTACTGTTTGTTTCTCAAGTTGAGTTGCATTACTGAAGGTGTGCATACTGTCACATAGATGGTGCACGAGTATCTAGTTTAAATTCAGGATAAAGAACTCCAGAAGACCACGGTGGCCTATAACCTGCACACATGGATTGGGGCTCATAGCCCTCCACCTCAGCGGCATGGGAGGGAGTGATCTGGCAGACATGCTGGCTCCGCCTTTTGCTGCTGTTGCGCAGCAGTCCCTGCAGAGCCTAGCACTGCAGAGTACAGATGGTGTTTGTTCAACCTTGCCCCACCTCCTAGCTTATCTTTCAACTGCCGTATACCTGTGGCTTCTAATAAGCTTCATGCTTTTCTCAAACACTGTACCTCTTGCAGGTACTGACAAAGCTTATCCAAATTCATGGTTAGTGGCTATAGGATGTTTTAAGTTTCTGGAAGAGTTAGAGGAAGAGTGTGGGAACACTTAACACCTTAAAGACTGCTTAATGTCATGTCTTATATAAAACAGTATGTGGCTCAACTTGGTCAATAAGTATTGACCTAAATAAACTAGGTTCTTGCTACTTAAATCTATTCTACAGCTATCTGTGGATATAAATATCCTACAGAAGTGTAACACATCATTGTCTTCACTCAAGTAATTAAAATGTAAATAGCATGCAAAGGTATGAGTCTGTGTTAATACACTTCAGACAAGAGAAATATCTGTTAGGGTTCTGTTAAGTGACCAGCAGAATGCTTCCATCTCAAAGCCGAATGGTGAATTGTGATCTCAGCAGATGTTGCTGCCACCCTAGACACTCTTTTTTAAAAAAAAAAAAAAACCAAGTTGAACCTGCATTGGAATACAGCTGCTGAAATTGGAACAAGTGGAGTCTATAGCTGCAAATACCCGTTGGCTGCTCTTTGAGAAGTTGCTCAGTAGTGTGGTCTTGATTCTTTGAGTAGGTGAGCTGCAGGCAGTATGAGAAATCACTGATCATGGCCTTTATTTTGGGCTGTTGCTGTATTGTATGCATATTTTTTCTGTAAGCAGTTTAGCCCTTGTACGGTTCTTAAAGCAGCTAACTTCATTTCTGTTACAGGAAGAATAACGAGAAGCTGGTAACCAAGTTTGTATGCAATATAGAAATGTAGTTCAAATTGAAATTAGTAAAGTAAAAATTGACAGATGGTGTATATACCTTTTCTGTTTCACTGGCAGATGGCTAAATGTGTAGAGACACCTTCATGGGCACAGCTAATGACAGAAAATGTTTCTAATTGTCAGTATTGCAATAATTATAAAGAAGTTGTTGCTGCAATAGTTAGAGTAGGAACAAAACTAAAAAAGCAGTGTCGAACTTAGGCAGTGAGTATATCTTTCCTGTATTTTAAAGTTTATCTTGACTCTAAGTGGAGTACTATGGGGTAAAGAGCTCAAGGAGCTTCTTCAAAGGAAATGTGTGTATGGCCTTGTTACTGCAACTCAACTGAAGCCATCCAGGATTTGTTTGAAGAATCAGCTGACTTCTAGGCAAAGTATTTCTACAGTCCTCAAACACCTTTGGGTTCTTTCAAGAGTAAAGTCCTTTTTGGGTTTGGCCTTGAAGACAGGGTTTTTATTGCTGTCACATCCAGTTGATTCAAAACTGTTCGGTGATAGAGCAAAATAAGGTCTAAACTGGGGCTTACCCAACTGATACAGAAATTACGTCTTGCACCACTGAACCTTTCTCTAGTGGCCCTGTAAACTACCTTATGCTACCTGAGTCTGTAGACAATGGTCTGAAAGTCTAGACAGCCATATGACAAATGCATTGAAATGACCGGTTTGAGCTGAAGCTGCTAGTACAGATTATATGGACTCTGGTTTTTATGGCCAGGTCTTGGACATGAAGCTTCATTTTAATCAAGGAATCATTTAATTCTAGAGAAGAGCGTGTTTTTCTAATTATAGCATTGTAACTTAGCAGAAGAGACTAGTCTGCCTTAAATTTGGGATTTGGGGGTTACTGCTGCATTACTTAGACCTGAAGTATTTAGTGTTAAAGCTGAGGCTAGTCTACCAAAGTATTACTACCAGTAGTCTGCTGTGTTAATGAGTTTTTAAAACCAGTCTAGAGGGACCTGTGTGCCTTGAGTTTGCTGGTGTTGCCTGGGTAATTGATTGATCTGCATGGTAATCCATTATTTGGCTGTAGCAGATATTGCAGGGTCAGGAAACAAAGGCTGCCAGTTCTTACTTAGCAAGCAATCCTGATGACTTTTGAGCTGTGTTTGTTAGAACTATTTCAGAATGCTACAGATAAGTCCTGAAGAGCAGCTACCATATTTAGAGGCCTCTACAAGTCTGTGTCTGTCTCTGCCTTGAACTTTTGCTACAACTATAATGATACTCTCTTTTATTGCAGGCTGATCAACTGACAGAAGAGCAGATTGCAGGTGAGGCTTTTACATGCTATGTTGCTACTCCTACTTGACCTGGCATATCTCTTAATCCAGTGGCAGTCTGTGTTACACAAGATATTTAGCTTTCTTAGATACAAAAGAAGTATTGTGGAATGTTTTAATTTGTCACCTAAGTTTTAAAGGATTGTCTACTGTAGAAGCACCATGGATACAATGAATCTGAAGTTTTGTCCTCTAGAATAGTTAGACAATCCTCACAGCTTTACTAGCTAGTAGATTTGGGAGTCTGGTTTTTTCTCTGACTATAGAATTGTCCCAAGTGCAAACTGAAATGTGGAAGGTGTGTGTGGGGGGAATCTCTGATGAATCAGACTTGGCATCTGGAGTGTACTTCTAACAGAAGACAAAAATAATTTACTTTGAGGTCTCCTGTCAGCAGAGATGTTTTAGTCTCTGCTGTCAGAAACAGCCACTCTGGCTTCATGATGACAGCTCTTGATATTCCATATTTGGAACTGCATTGTATACTTGGACACAAGTGTTCTATGCACTGTTTGGATGGTCTGGCACTTGCTCTGAAATGCTTAAATAAATATGCATCTTTTACATCTTAGTATTGTCCCCTAACAATGGTTTCTATACACTGACAACTGTCTACTAGTGGATAAAACTTGTGGTTACGTCTCCTACTCATGCAGGCTGCACAAACTAGTATCTGTCACTGGTCTCTGAAGACTGATTTCGACTTCAATAATTGATGTGACTTAAAGCTAGTAATACAGAATTCAGCCTTGCCATGAACATTTAAAAACTTTAGAGTTTTTGATCTGACAGATGTATAGTGTTAATACTAGAAAGTCTCAGTGAGCATAACTGTCATGTGAAATGATTTTAGAGGATGTTAGAGTTCTGCTAATAGTACAAGGTCAAGCATACAAATAACAACCTCTAAGAGGTATAGCTATTTAACAGCGGTGTAGCTCTTGAAGACACTGTGTTAAACAGAAGTGTCATAATGAGCTAGTTTGTTTTTACCATAATTGCCAAATTTGAAGTGTAAGAACATTCTTCTGTAGATTTAGACTTCAGAAGCTTGCTTTAACTCATAGGAGACTAATTATGGTTTTGTAGAAAGTCCTTAGTCTATTTACTTGTCGCCATGGTACTGTCTTATGAGTAAGCACAAGCCAAATCTAGTTCAACTTGGATTTTTTTTTTTTCTGGAAGTGGCCTACATATCTTAAAGGTTTTGTGATCAGTTTAGCTGGAGCAGGCTTTACCAACTGTCACTGTTTGTCTTTTTAGTAATGATTCATTGTTCCAGTTCATAACTGTAGAAGCTTTATTAGTTGATGTAGCTGCTTATGGAATATAAATGAACTTATTAACACTACCTCAGGATTAGTGCAAATGTTATTCAGTAAGGATAGTATAGTTCTCAGAGCCCAAAGTGAGTATGAATAAGCTTGTCACACTGGAATAGAGGATTTTCATCTGTGTGGTAATATCCAGTGTAAAATGGCCTGACACTTTCAGTTCAGCTATGGTATTTTATAAAGCAAATGTGTTTGCAAGTAAACCGTAAACCTGTGATGTGAAGACATAAGCCCACTGCTGGTCTGTTAGGGAACCGTCCCTCGTACTGCTTAGGAAGGGTTAGAGCTGACTAAGCAGTCTGCTTAGTTTTGCTGTTGAAGACCAGTGTCTTGCCTGGGAAGACTGTTAAAGGTACAGTTTGCATGTTTTACAGAGGTTGTGTGGTTTTAAAGGCTTGACACACCACCACCCCACCCCCATTCCATTTCAGCTTATCTGAAGATATCTAGCTTTTGATTTGAAGGTGGGCTTAAAGTGATATTAAAGATAGAGACAACATTCCCCTTCTTGAATAGAAGGCCAAAGTAGTTAAAGCAGCAACTTCTCCTGGACTTAAAACAAATCTTCCACCTCTGCTGTGAAGCACCAGAATACAGTTTCTTATTTCTTAGGGAACTCACTGGTCATATAGGACTGAAGCTTCTTGTCATTGTAGGTAGAAGACTTCTCAGGTTTTGTTCATATGAAAGACTGATTTTTGCAAGCTGAGTAGGTACAGAATATGAATGCTGGTTGCAGCTTCATCCAGTAAGAATGAAGTTGCTGAGTCAAACGGGTATCCCTTTGGTTAAGTGTTGCATTTAAAAAGGTATATAGGTCAGGACCATTTCATGTGGGTAGTTGAGATGGGGAGGGAATCTAAAGATGCTTTTGTCCCTAGGAAACTAATCTAGTGAGCTATACTCTTTCTTCCACTAGACCTCAGGTCTCAGTGGGCTCTCCGAACAAGTAGGCCTATGTATGGTGTTCATTATGCCTTGTTCCTTTTAGTGTGTTGTTGTGGTTCTCTGGGGATCTGACCACAAGAGTTATTTAGAATTTATTTCATAGTAGAAATAGTCATGTTTAAGTGTTGAACTCCTGGTAGCTGTGAAGAGAACAATTGACATTTTCCTATAAAAGTTCCAGACATAGCTGGCTAAACTGTGTGAGAGCAGGAATGGTAGCTCTGGTTCACTGAACATACTAGGTTACTGAAGACTGCCACTTCATGTGGAAAGGTAACGTGGTGCAGAGATGCCTCAAAAGCTATTGTTAAATAGAACATTTTGAGCTAGGGTGTTAGAGTTCATATTCTGTTGGACTAGCCTTTCTTTTGTGGGGCCTGGAAGTAGTCTTTTTCTCTTGATGTAGTGTGCTTTTCAGAAGGAAGGAAAGGCTGAAACCTTGTAGGCAGGCCTGAAGATGAGTGGTTCTCATGACACTGTCCTCAGGTTTGACAGGTTAACCTTATCTAGAATACAAGAGAATTTTCATTTGCAGTTTGATATGGAGGAGCGTTGAATAGAGGGAGGATTTGCTTTACATTCTGCGTGGAGTCATAAGGTGTTTAAGAGTGGGAGGTGTGTTTCATAATCTTGTGTTGCAGGAAGCTAGAATTGAGTTGCTCACTAAACTTCAGTATTTTATGGCCGCTTTCACTGGCCATTGCCACAAGTCCTCTAAAGCTTTCACTGGCCATTGCCACAAGTGCTCTAAAGCTATGCTAGGTTGTTCTTGTTCTAGTCTAAACTGCATCTGCATAGGTGGTTATTCCTTTGATCTAATTACTGGAGATGGTTCCTAGAAGTAGTTAAAGAGGTATTTTAATCTTATTCCTAACTTGATTTGAGCATTTCAAACAGGAATATGCTGCAGATCTTTGACACTCTATAGTTATGATTTATAGCTGGTTGTTTCTTAGCCTACAGCATCTTTGAGTAAAAAAAGGTAAAGAGTGGCTCATTCAAGTGTTCAGAATATACCACTGAATGGCCCATGCTGCAGAAAGCAGGTCTTTGAATTTTGCATAAAATACTACTTTTTCTAAGCAGGGTCATTGCAGTACTGTGAAGTTTGCTTCATGTTTGGGTTCTTGACGGTTGACCTTCAAGTTAAGGATGAAGTGGTTTGGCTAAACATTTTGAATAATGTTTGAGTACCTGATTCTTGATGAAGATTCAATGTTCCCCTTTTAAGGTCCTTACTTGACAGTGTGAACTTTTCTACTAGGCTTGAACCAAAAGCCTTTTCTAAAGTGGTGTAAAACTTTCCTCCTAAAACCTATTTGTTGCCTCCAAGCTAACTGAAACTAGCCCCAAAGAGTGGTTGTAAGTTACTGTAGGTACAGCTTACAGCTGTCAGAGTAGGCCTGTTTCTACTTTGTGATTATACAATGCTGGCTTGTAACTGTTGTCTGGTCCTGTGGTAGTCTTGCTCTGATTCTTACATGCTAAACAGTGGGAGTTGGCTTTTGGAACACTTCAAACTGTTAGATGTAGAAGGGTGTTTTTTCCTGGATGAGACTCAATTGTGGCTCTGGTATTATAGCTGCATTCATGAACTATAAAAAGCCTATTTTTGTAGTTGCATTTTTAACACTTGCCAGCTTGTACTCACCTCGAGTGTTTCGGAGTACAAAATGGATGAAGTAAGACCTTATGCAGTTCATGTGAAAACACAAATTTTACTGTGACTAATTCTGGTCTGGGAAACCCACCATCTGGAAAGCTGGCTGCTTGGACATGTTGAAAAATTAATTCTTGGAAGTATTTCTGATGCAGGAGTACCCTTGAGCTAAAGAGTTCTCCAAAGTGTTTCAAGGTGCCTTGAAAGCTGTAAAAGAACTATACAAGAGAATAGATAAGTTTTTCATGTTTGACTGTAATTTGTGTATTAGCTAGTACAGTCCAGTGAGCTAATTTAAGGTCTGTGGCCAAAGATGAACAGATGGCATGGATTAAAACCAACTCCATTTTTGGACTGGACAATTAAACACGTTATGCTTGTATTAGTATTGCTGGCTACAATACAGCCATTGTAGGGGGTTAAGAGGCAGCATTGAAACACAGTTAAGCAGTCTTACAAATGTTTTTGACTAGTTTTATGAAGGCTGTTTCAGGATAGAGTAGGGCTGAAGGAATTTTCTAAGCAGCTTTTTGGCAGTTAAGACTCCAGTGACTTCCTCCTTGAACAGCTGACTGGAGTTGTGTATATCCATAGGCTGAATGACTATAAAGAAGTCCAGTGGGGGAGAGCTGGGAAGAGTTCCTTCTTAGCTAGATACGGCCAAATGTTAAGACCTGTGGTGCTAGGTCTACATGCAACTTCATGTAGCATATACTGTTCAGACTTCCATGTCCAGCAGAAATTAGTTATGAGCAACTATTTTTAGTTTGATATTACACCTTTTTCCATTGATTGGTCTCCTCCATTAGTAATAGAAGTACTGTTACGCTGTAGCATTTGTATTTTGAGTACTATTTTTTCAGCTTTCTCAAATTAATTGCGTATTTTCTTACGAGATCCAAGGATGTGGATCATTCTAGTTGCAGATAGCTATTTCTTTCAGCTCTGTATTAGGGATCTTTGTTCAAAATAGATAGTAGCAAACATCTACGCACTCCTGAAATGGATGACCTTCCACCTTATTTAGATCAAAGTGTGGTTGATTGGTAGACTGGTGGGTTGTTTTCTAGATGCTGGTGCTTTCGTATTGGCATTACGGTTATAGCAGACTGAGCAATATACTGACATTTTCTTAAGAGAATGAAATCAAGTTTTGTAATTTACAACAGTAAGCAGCAATAGATTCTTATGTGATTAAGTAAACCTATAACATTTCAAAGCTGAAGGCATTAACTCCTTTTTTGCTGTTGTACAGAATTCAAAGAAGCTTTTTCACTATTTGACAAGGATGGTGATGGTACTATAACTACAAAGGAGTTGGGGACAGTGATGAGATCGCTTGGTCAAAACCCCACAGAAGCAGAGCTACAGGATATGATCAATGAAGTAGATGCTGATGGTAAGATTTTACTAATAAGTAATTTAATAAAGTATCTAAAACATGGGTCTCTTACTAACATAGTAACTGTCTTGCAGGTAATGGCACAATTGACTTTCCAGAGTTTCTGACAATGATGGCAAGAAAAATGAAAGATACAGATAGCGAAGAAGAAATTAGAGAAGCGTTCCGTGTGTTTGACAAGGTACTAAAATACCTTAACAAATAATTCTGTTTGGAAAACTCACTCTGACTTCTAATGAGCTTCCTCACTGAATTGAGGGGTATCTGCAGTCCTGTCTTCTAGAACCTCTAGGTTAACTAGTCACCCTAAAGTTCAGTCTTCTGTGGTACTGAACCTGAAAGTCAGATGAGTCATTGTGGTAGCAGCAGGTGATTAAGCTACCACTTGCTATGATACTAAAATACTTCTACAAGGCTGGCAGGGAAGTTGTTTAAATATTTCAAATGGTAATCTGTTAAATCTTTCACTTGGACTCACTTAGCAATTTACTTAGTACAGACTAAAGTTTCCATACCCAGTGTCTCAACTGGGATGGAATATGTAAAAGTGGCCTCTGAAGGGGCTTGTGGCTTTGTGCTGGACTCCCATGAAACAGGTGAATGTGATAAGTAGCTTCTGTTCTAAGAAATAGACACTTGAACCAGTCAGTCACATGATTGAATAGACATCTGTCACCTAAAAAGATTGCAAAAGGTGCTGATTGCTGTGTCAGTGATTTAAAAAAAAGTCTCAAGTTAGGACAACCAAAGTAGACTGTATTGGAGAAGCTGGTTTTAAAACATCTTTTTAAGACTTAAGATCCTGGACAATACTGAAGATAGGCTTATAGCTTTCATCTGCCTTGTGCAAATGCTAGTGGTTAAAGCTATGCTAACTTCTTAATGTTCAACTTGCTCTGCAGTATTAAGTTCTAGTTAAGTCACTAAGCCTTAGACAAGTCTGTTCCAGTGTTCCTTTTTTCCTCTCCCAGGATGGTAACGGTTACATTAGTGCTGCAGAACTCCGTCATGTGATGACAAATCTTGGTGAGAAGCTAACAGATGAAGAAGTTGATGAAATGATTAGGGAAGCAGACATTGATGGTGATGGTCAAGTAAACTATGAAGGTAAGGAGTTGCTAACAGATTCTTCTTATGCTGGTGGTTGTGTAGATGCTGATAGCCACACCAAGTTTAAATAGGGCAGTGTTAAGGTGAGATCTCAACAGTTAGTGTTCCTTTAAGCTATGGTCTTTTAGTATGTACATCATGTACCTCTAAATGGGGTTAAGTTTGAGTGGGTTACTGCTACCTTTGTGCCAAAGGCAAAAAATTACTATAAACTGTGCACTGTAAGAATAACTTTCTAAATCTATTGATGTCTAATGACCATTAGAATAAGGAAGCTAGCTGAGATGTTCACATACTGTTCATACTATTCTGTTCACTAATGAAGGTTGATCTGACTGTAGCAAGTCACTTGTCTTTTATTAATGCTTTTAAAATTACTAATTAAAGGAGGAAAGCCTCTAAAATGTGCATAAATTTAAAGACCTTTAGAAGACCTCTTAACTTCACACAAATCAGCTGCAGCAGTAGCTTATTTTCTTTCTTTCTTCCTGGCATTGAAACTTAAAGTCATGTGAGCAGGAGGAGTTCTGTTAGACAATTGTTTGCAGCTCAGAAGTGCTAAGCTTATTTTCACTTTGTAACTTTCTGAACATTTTTATAGAAAAGAACTAGGGTATTTTCAGATAATACCGTTACTGTTTCTGAGGTGTAGGTGTGGCTTCTCTTTAAGGCCTTTCTAGTTGTGGCCTCAGGATGAGCACTCATCTGTGAGTGAAAACGTGTTTTTATGAACAAGGCTGGTGCTCCATAACTCTGCTTAGGAGTAGACTGTTTAGAGGCTGGCACTAGAGAGGGTAGACATCCCTCTTGTTTCCAGTTGCTCTTTTATAACTTGAGCAACCAGTTAGCTGCTTTTAGGTTCCTGGTTTCTTTTTGTTACTGCACCTGAAACTGGTTCAGCAAGGTAAGTGAAGAATCCTATTCTGTGGGATCTAACTTCCAATGTGCTGTGAATAAGCAGTGATTCAGATGCTTAAAGATGGTCAGACAAAATAGCAAGACTTGAACTATTCTGCTTTGAAAAAAATTCAAACCAACAGAGTGTTTTGCTTGTGCACCTACTTAACCAATCATTGCTTAAGCACAATTTCTGCTTATCTCAGTCATTCTTAGATACCTTGTCCCTATCTCTAAGTCAGTGAACATGAGGACCCTGTAATGTTTTAGTCTGGAAGCAAGGCTGTTCTCCAATTCACTGAGGGACCAACTTTTTTTATAAAAGTGGAGGCTTTTTGCCTTTAAAAATAGGAGGTTTTTAGGCAGAATTGGTGGAAAAATGGGGGTGTCTTGAAGATGCTTTTTTGAATGTAACTGAAAACAGTTTTGAAAGTGTTCAGCACTAGTAAGGCAGGTCACATCTCAGATCTTGTAATTCAGATTTTTCTCTGAGTAACTCTTATGCAACTCTTTCCTTTTACAGAGTTTGTACAAATGATGACAGCGAAGTGAAGACGTTGTACAGAATGTGTTAAATTTCTTGTACAAAATTGTTTATTTGCCTTTTCTCTGTTTGTAACTTATCTGTAAAAGGTTTTTCCCTTACTGTCAAAAGAATATGCATGTATAGTAATTAGAAGGCCATTCCTCCATGTTTTTCTCCTTTATCTTACTGTCATTGTTCTGATCTTTGGAAAATTGATCTAAGTAACAAATGTTGCATGTGGCTTACTCTGGATATTTAAGCCCTTCTGCACATCTAAAGTTAGATGGAGTTGGTTAACTGAGGGAACATCTGGGTTGTCTGTTTAAAAAAAAAAAGTAGCTTTCTTAGAAGACTTAGGTATGACTAGTGTAACAAATTACATAAAGTAAGCTAGGGTTTACTGTGCATTAGCAATTCCTTAGTTAAAGCGACATGTTGGCTCTAGTTCTCCAGTATATAAAGGAGTTTATTCCGCTTTCTGTGATGGAGGATAAGGACTCATGCAGCTAACTGCAGGATAAGACCATGTCAATAGTATATATATGTGTATATATACATATATACATATGTATAATATATGGCTAATGCACTGTAATCATTCTCCTAGCTTACTTCAGTAACTTGTTTGTGGCCATACCTGTAACATGTTGTTGAAATGTGGAGTCTTAACGTTGTGGACAATTGACAGTCAACAATATGAAACTTAAGTTGCACTAATGCAAAACGGGTGATTTATCCAGGTACTCGTACACAAGGTTTTTTTTGTACTGCTGGTCCTGTACCAGAAAACATTTTCTCCTCTTGTTACTATGCTTTTTAAACTTTGTTTAGCCACTTATTTTCAAAAAAATCTGCTTATGGCACGATTTGCCTCAAATCCATTCCAAGTTGTATATTTGTTTTCCAATAAAAAATTACAATTTACCCATACTGTTTCAATGTATCCTTGAATTATTTACAGGAATTGTTCAATACAGTTGCTGCTCTATGTGTTTGAGTATGTAGCAGTTTGGTTTGCTTATGCAATGGATTGGCTGTCTTACAATAGCTTGGAAGGTGAAAACTTAGTCCTTAAACTCTGGCCCTTAATAGTATTGTTGACTTGAAGAAGCTTTCTTACTAGTAGTTTAAAATGTATTTTACAGTCTTGTGTGGAGCTTGGTGCTTCAATAAACTTACCGTAGTGACTGGCTATGCCCACTATCTGTAGACATTGTGAACTGGATGTTGACCTAGTTCAATAGTTGACCTAAAATTAAAATTCCTTGTTCAGACAACTAAACCTGTTTGCTTTCTTTTAATTATTTTGGAGTTTATTCCCTGTCAGCTGCTACATCGGGGTAACTTAGTCTCACTGCCATGGACTTTTCTGAAACTGCCATGCCTGAGTTGCCATTCAGGGTGCAGTTAGCTCAGAGTACAAAAGGAAGATATTCTCTTACTGATCTGCTAATGAGCATGATTGTGCTTCTAGCACTAGTTTTTTGTCAAGGTTTAAAGTTGGGGGTTTTTTAAAGCAGAAAACAAACCTGGTTTTGACCAAGGACAAATCCAAGACCTCGAAAGAATGCTGGAGGCTCTTTGTGCCCCTTGCCTCTGTACTCTCCTGTCAAGAACTGACCTTACATATGCTATACAGTTACCTTATTTGGGGATTCTGGTTGCCTTTAAACAAAGCATTGGCCCTTGCATCTGGTTACCCTCACTGGTCCCAGCAGAGCAGTCACGTAATGTTTTATTAATGGTTTTAATAATCTTTGAAGTATTTGTAATTACAGTGAAAATGCAGTTGGGACAGCTGATCAACCTGATTTCAGAAACACTTGACTCGAGTTCATGGTTACTGACCTTAAAACCCTACTCCCTAAGGACTATAAGCAGCTCTACTGGTTTTCCAAAGGAGGCTTGTCAAAAGTGTTTAAATGGCCAGCATCAGAATTCCTTAGAATTGTTGCTTGTGCACTGCCAATCTGATTCAGGAAGCTTATGCAGTCTAAATATTCTAGCAGTTAAGGTCTCCCCTCTACAAAATGAGTGACCGAACAAACACTTCCTATCCAGTCTTCATCCTGTGGCCTAGGAGCCTGGGGACAAGACAAAGGTGCTTAAAGTGGCACAGGGTGAGGAGAATTTGACAGACCCATCAGAACAACCACTTGAGATTCTGACTTGCAGGAGTATTGGAAGTCTCATTTTTAGAGGTAAGTAATATAAACAAGGATCTGACAAGAATTTGCATTTGCCAGTCTGATGTCTTGACTTTCAGTAGGCTGGGAATCACACTTTGACCCACAGTTGTCTTGTACAACTGGGCACGCATTTGGAAGCATCTGACAGGTAAAAAGGAGAAGGTCCCCTTTTTTATGAAAGACTGCCTTGGCCGAGATAATTGCCTTTCATAAAATGGATGGGTGAAAAATATGTGATGGTGGCCACCCTTATATTAGCTGTTCCCTGTTCAGAATGTTTAGTTACAGGAATCAAAGCTTCTGGGTTTGTTCAGCGTAAGTGCCTGTGTTGCTGTTACCTAAATGAAATGCCTGATTTCCAGGTCAATATTGAAGTCTTGTAGCCCTGTTTACATCATATTTCAGCTGCAGAATTGGGGGTAATCTTTTCAGTGCTTTCTGCTAATGGAAGAATGAGGTACAGTCAGTAGAGTGTGGCAGCTAATGGCATTGATCACTGGAACTTAAACCTTTTGGCTGAGGTGCTTTTGCAGATGCTCTTTTGAGAAGCAGGTAGTCCTCAGGTCACTAGGCAGGTTTCTGGATATGTGTGGATGTAGGAATACTGAAATTTCAAGTTTGGCTTCTAGTAGCTGGCTAAGATACAATCCTTTATCTTGTCTGTTAAATATGGTGGAGGCTCTTAATTCCATACTATATTAGCAAGAACAAAACCTTCTATGGTATAACACTGCAAGAAAAAAACACTGTCAGGGGTTTTACAAATTGGGGGCTGAGGCAAGAGATCTTATACTTAAAGACTGCTCTTCCCTTAATGATAGATCTCCTCCTAAACCTATACAATGCGTATAAAAAAACCTGATGAGAGACACAGATTCATTTCTGTTTCCTACTGGCGGGACAAGAGGCAATGGGCACAAATTTAAGAAGATTAAGTTCTATCTAAACAGAAGAAAACACTTTTTTACTATGAGGGTGGTCAAACACAGGTTGTGGAGTCTCTGGTCAGCAAGAGTCTCTAGATGACCTCGCTTGAGCAGCGAGTTGGATTGGGTGATCTCAGGAGGTCCCTTCCAGTCTAAATGATTCTGCGGTGAAAGTGCCCCTATGGTGTGCGACCCTGTCTTCATATGGTGGTCTTTCCCAGTGAAGGAAGATGGTGTAAGTGCTTGCTACAGCCTGATAAATTTTAGAGTATGTCTATAACTCACTCTAGTAGTGTTTGGAATAACCAAGTGGGACTGACTATATAAGACACTGTGTACCTCAAGGCTGTGAGCTGTCCTGAAAATAACTACTTCCCTCATCACTTGTAGCTGCATTTGTGGTGGGGGAATGTATCACTGGATAAGGAATAGTAACTGGTAAGCTTGCAGCCTGTTAAGGTACAGCTAATAAATTAGGGATGGCTAATAGGTAAAGGAGACAGGATTAGAAGCCTGCTAATAAGATCAGTATAATTATTTGAGGGAGACTAGCTCAGAAGGTAGATGAGCATGTAACACAGGAGTACAGCTGATGGACCCACTGGAGGTAACGCAGACCGGGTATTTGTTCTTTTGAATGGGGCCATTGGTCTCTAAAGACTTGACTCTGCAGGAGTAAGGTAGTTAAATCTGCTGTGTCCGAGCTGTCCCTTTCAGGAATTGCTTGGTAACAAGCTGGACACGATGAGTAGCAAAATGACTGCTTGCTTATGTTTGTGTGTATCACTTCTGTTATGTGACTACACTGTGTTTCTTAGACAGTAACACAGTCCAATTAAGAGAAGCTGTGTTAAACTGATTTGCTGTATAAGGGAGTTCCTGTAGTTCATGATTAATCGTCGTTGCTGGCCACTTCTAGTGGGGGTTGGTGGGAAATACCAGAGAGGCTTTCAAAATTCTCCTTGAAATGCTGCATTTAAAAATGGCTTTTCCACTGAAGTTTTCAGGTTGTAATGGATACTTAAGGAAGTTCCATTCTAATACTGAGTCTGTCAAGAGATAGACTTTTCAGTTAAAAAAGTTTTTAGCAAAGAACTTCTGTAAGAATGAATCTTGAAAAGCAATTTTTTTTCCAAGTGAGAATAACAGGTATTTGAGAATATATATGAATACACTGGGGTGTGCGGTCTAAGCGTAAAAAGTGTCATATTCAGCCAAAATGGACAATGCTGAAAAAACTTGGGTGCTGGATAATCTATGCTTAACAGAACTTTGAAAGAGAGCTGATGGAGAGTTTGTTAGAGTAAGTGTATTTTGATATCATAGTATCTCCTCAGCTATCTCTTTCTCCTGCTGTATCATTAGTACAGATTCATGACTGGAGTAACAACCACCATACTGCATCTACTCCAATTTCTGGTTTTGAAAAAAGTTCATGCTCTCCTACAAGAACAGTCACAGTTTGTCGTGTTATCTATTTACTCTGTTTTTGAAGAATTGAGTCTGATAGCTGTGTATACACTAAAAAAATGGATTTTTAAGGACTAACACTTAAGATCGCAAAGAAAAAAATCAGAATAAAATATGGAATGGGGATGGGGACCTTAATTTTCTGGTTTCCCCTAAAGTGCAAGTCTGATGTCATAGTGTCAGATGATGTAAATGGCAGTATTTGAAATTGATTCTTTTCTAGCTGCTCCTTTAGAAAAATACTTCCTATGGCTTTTTTAACATGAATTATGGAGAAGGCATTTATTTCAGTGTCATAAACTTGAGAGTCCTGAGATACTGTTCAAGACGTTGCACAAAGATTAGTCCAACTGGAATACCTTAAGGTGACATTTTCAAAAGATATGGAAGATTTGGTGAAGATGGACTGTAACAGTAATTGCCTAAAGATGAGGCATATTCCCTGCAAAGCTCTGGACAATATGATACAATATGATACAATAACTCTTAATAACTTTGTAACATTATTCAGAGTTTCAGTGGTGTGTTGAAGAATGGGTCTGCATTTTAGTGGATGCTTCAGGTATGCAGAGTAGCAGATAGTTCTTGCTCCAAGATCTTGCCATACAAACAGGGTATCGCGTGGTGGTGTGCAATGACCCTGCACTGCAGGTTGACTTTTTTAAGGAGGAGCTGAACTGGAAATAGGAGTGAAAGAGGATGAAAGAATATAAAATTAGGAGAATAGTGCAGGAGGAAAAGAAAATGTTTGATGCAAACATCTAACTGGTGCAAGACAAAGTCCAACACTAGTCTTTGAATAATACTGAGACCTTGAGGGCTGGAGCCCCTGGCTTGTTCCTGCAGGCTGTTCTCAAATGGCAAGGGTGGTAGTCGAGTTTTATCCATTTCTAGTGGCCCCCACAGCTGGAATAAAGTACTTAGATTGTTCTAATTGCATAATCCTCACCTTGCAGATAAGAC